AAAGTTATATTTAAACGTAACATTACGATTATTCGATTAGAATTTTTGGCGTCGGCCGAACATATAGTTGTTAGGGCTCGTAAAATATAGAGGCGGTTAAAAACTCAATAAATAAATAGAGTTTTTACAAAATATATTGAGGTAATTTTCTTGTATCTAACGTTTTGCTTGTACGGCAAAAAGTGCTTTAAAAGGGCGATTTTGAAGTCCTTCTTATGGGATTAAACGCTACTAAACATAATAAAATGTTTAATAAAACATAAATAAATAAATCAACAGAGTTATTACAAAAGCGATTAATAATCCGTGAACTTTCCACTTTCCAATAGCGTAAGTTCATTAAAATCAATTAAACATTGATGAAGTTCAAAACACATGTTTATTTAATGAATAAACTGTGGTCTCCGTAAGAATAATGTATAACATTTTCCAACTTTCATAAGTCATCAGAGTTCTATCTACGCTAAAGTGAGTTAATGTTTAATCGTGACAAATAATAATAAAATAAAAAATCCGACATCAAAGTGAAACTTTGGCAGCGATAGCATGAAGATAATAGACTAGTTTCTGCTCATGAGTCAATTAAAAACTTAATTAAGATTGCTGTCTTCTGTTGTACGAAAAATATATAGGCTGCTCTATTAATTTCAGATAGTGCGGTATGATAAAATCCATAAGGTTCAGAAAGTGAAAGAAGGAAAAGAAGAATGTTGATTGAAAATTATCTGTGCGGTCGTCCAATAGGAAACCTGAACTCGCGCTGCTGTAAAACGCTACCGTATAAAACGTGCGTTAATATTATATTATATTTCCTGTATTCACTCTCGTTTTCGCACCCTTTTCTGTACGAAATCAAGCGCTTTTAGGAGCAACTTTATGGATAAATTCCTGTTCTTATTAAGCCATTATGTTCTTGATATTTTATAATTTACATATTTTGTATTGAACGGACTTTTTCGTAAAAAGTGGCAGTTAAATTATTGAAATTGCGCTCAACCTAAAAGAATTTTAGTGTTTCCTCCCATATGGCTGGTAAAGAGTCCCATATGGCTGGCATTGAATTTAAAAATCTCAAAATATGTATAAAATCTATCGGTCCCGAGTAATATGTATCGAATTTCAGATCTCTTCTGCTACCTCTTTTGATTCAAACATATTCTCGAATTGAGCAGCGTTTTGTTCCCTACAGGGCCCCCGATGAAATATTTATGATTTACGAACGGTAGAGTTTTAGAGTAGCCGTTACTGATAGAGATTCTAACCGAAACATAAAACTTTGAAAGATATTTTATGTTCGATCCTAATGCGATGACTTGTCTATCATTTTCATTTAGCAGATTGCGAATATTACGAGTTTTAAGCAAAAGCGCTCTTCAATTAATTGAAAAGCGCTTACCCTCTGAGCTTAAAGCCTACCTTCCTAAGCTTAAAAAACGTTTTTCACGCAACGTTGACAATTTCAATCCTAATCTCGATTACAAGATTTCGCGCCGTAAAATGTTGAATAATTATCATTTGCAAATGTAGTTTTGAATTTTCTAATTTAAGCCACTAGAAATGCTTCCAATACTCTAACTCGGCTTCCAACACTCTAACAGTTACCATGCAAAACTAATCCTAAGGATTATTTCACGGAAAAGCACTCTGTACTACAAATAAATTGAAGGGTTTAGTTCCTTTGTGTTCAAAAAATTTATATTTTTAAACTTAAAACTGGTGTCGTTTTCTTATCGTGCGTATTAAAGGTTTTAAAAGCGATATTTGAATAAAAACGTTGGGTAATGTTTTGCCTCCTTACGAACACATAAAGTTCGAAAAGTTCGAAAACGACTGGCAAAATATGACTGGTCTTAAACCGTAATTCGATAGAGCGCTCAGATAATTTGGTACTTGAAAAAAATAAGCGTTTACCTTTAACGGCGGTCCGGATTCAAAAATTTTAAGAAAAATATTTGCTGAAACACGATGATGAGCGATTTGTTTCCTACACAATCCCAATTTAATTTATCTTTATTATTCGACAAAGCCCGAAATTTTTGAATTTTGATTATATTATTTTTGGCGGCAATAACAAATCTGAAGCAAAACCTACTGCACTTTCTTACCCTCATCATCACTCTTTCTCTCATCAATTGGTTTCGGTTTGGAAGTCGGTTTTGTTCCAATTTTGATATTCACCCCAGAGAAAATATATATTGAAAATCGAAAATTTCAGTTTTTTTTCCAAATAACTCAGAAACGAAAATTCGTATCAAAGATCTGATATTGCGATTTTATTAGTCTTTTAATTGCTCAACTTTTTTCCATTTAACCAACTTCGTATTATTTACGGTTTTTACCGTAACGATTATTTTGAAAAGCGACCAAAAATTAATCTTTTTGGAGCAAAAACGTGTTGCTCTTGAAAGAAACCAACATAATTTAAATAATTGTTCATAATGTTCGGCGCAATTGAGTACGTGAATAGTATGTTGATTAAATTTATTCCACGTTTGCATGTGCTTTTTACTATTAAAAAGCCTCAATAAATTTAATAACTTTATTTATAGAAAACGTTGGAATAGTGAACATTTTTACATTACAGGAACAGCTAGGTTTCCAGAACAGTTTGCTATCGAAAAAAATTGTAAATTGTAAAAAAATCAAATAACTAATATAATTTCGAGTAAATCCCTGAAAAGAAATCGAGTTGATAACCACATGACTTCTTCAATTTGTCTGTAGTCTTCAATTAGTCCGACTACAAGCCGGTTTTGTATAATCAATGATACAATAAAAGCGAGGGATTGATAAAGCTTTGCCTCAGTCGAATAAATAGTGTTATTTTCATGTTTCCTAAGGCATTTGTTTCGGGTTTATATTAGATCGATCCTCTGCACTTTCTTTTGCTCCAATTACGGACGCTTTCTGTATTGGATAATACGACTATACTAATAGAGCAATTTGCTATTATAAACTCGTGGCAGATTTCCACTTGCACCGGAATCGGTAATTGGTTCAACTTCATTTTGGAGAGTTAAGTCCGATATTTTATGCTAATCACACTTGTTAGAAATGAACGTGTCGCATTTACAAAATGTTGACATCATGAAACTTTCTATTTTAACGTGTTCACGCAAAATCCACTCATTTAAATATTTTTTGTTTGTTAAAGTTTTCAATATGCAACTTCAGTTATAAATTTGTTAGATCAATTTTAGGTCACATTGGATTCGAAAATCCAATTCCGAGATTCCGAGATTCGAGATTCCAAAGTCTCTTGAACATGAAAGTACCACAGTAAAGAAAAAAGCTAATAAAGGGCAAGTTGAATAAAATGCTACGCAAACATCTCGATTACTTTATTGTTTCCAAGCTCTTAGCCTGAAACAAGCAGCTGCCTGCTGCTTAAGTTTGAAACTTTGTTCATGTTTAATTCACATAGAGAAAACAGCCAAGTAAACATTTTCATTTCAGATGGATATTTCTGGCAAAACTCATCTAAGATTTATTGGGAACKAATTTCTTCGTCCAAATTAACCCAAAATTTATGTTTTATTTTTCCATAATAAGAAAATGATTCTTGACTGTATTAAAAACCAACCGATTTTCATTTGAGCGAGTAATTCTGGTTCCCATAGGAAACTACATGCAACTATATATGCAATGTTCACTYCAATGTTAAATAGACCACTAAATATCCTAACTGTTAACCACTGAAGCCGCCACGGGAGTGCATTTACAATAATTAGCATAAAAGTTGGATGTGGAATGTTTCCAGGGAATATATCACTAAATGACCTTCCTTTGCCGACCGTTCCACACATAGGAGTTAATTTTCTTGAAATGTTGTTCTTTATTGTGAAATTCATTTTACAGCACATTTGTCCCTTATAAACAGAGATTTATAACCAGCATCCATTTTCTGGAAAAGCGGTTTCATGGAGTTTTAATATAAATCCTAGTCCAATTTCAACAACGCTCGGGACAAAGGGCAATTTTTTGCTTCACTTTTACTTATATTACATTTTTCCTTTCATCTTCATCTGCTAAGGATGAAACAAAACTGCGCAATAGAAATACAAGTATGATTGAAAAAAGCAACTTTTTCTGATTTGAAAAATTAAGTCAGAAAGTAATTAAAGCTTTGTAAACTGGTTACTAAAAAAGGGGCATTGGGGCTCGGTTATCAAAAACGCCAAATTTCCAGAAAAGTACATTAAATAAGCGCACAAAGTCATGAAATAAAATTAAAATGGTCAATAAAATTAATCAGAACAATGTTTTGTCTCACTTTTGCAAAAAATCATTCACGGAACTTTCTCGTGCCGTATCGTATAATTAGCAACTAAACTGAAAGTCTCATGGAATATTTATTTATCTATGCTCTCTTTATATCTGAGTTGAAACTTGCAGTTGCAGTAAACATTAATTCATGCAAATAAGTAAACAAACAAAAATTACTTAAACACTTTAGAGAAATTTGCGTGGAAACATTAATAATTGGTTTTCAAATTTATGAGCCTTCTGATTGCTTTTTTAGTTCAACGAATCACTTCTTCTAGTACCACGAATTCGAAAAAATGTATACAAAAGCTTTTAAATGGAAAAATATATATTCCACCTAATACAATAAAATACGATTCAAAGGTAAGAAGCTTCGAGCTTTCCTGCTTTACGTTTAAAGGCGAAAATTACATATTCCCTCAACTATTCCGTGAAACTCATTTTACATGCATAACATATAGAGGCGCCATAAAACGCAATCCCTTTGCTATTAATTAGTATTTCCATTAAAGGTTTCCACCTTTCCAGTGCCAAACCGAAAACATTGTTCCACAAAATGTACTCGCTTGTAGGAGCGTATACGCTAGATCTATAGATGGAAAATACATATAATATAAATACATGAAATTTTGTATTTTGTATGTTTTTTAATATAGGTTTATTAAATTGTCGAACTTAAACTTAACGAAAAGAAATAAAATCGAAATTAGGTGGGTAAACAAAAATAAACAAACCTGTTGACGAGAACAGCAGACAAGCGACGAGTTTTTCACTATTTTTGTTCTAAAAGCTGCGTGACGTTACCCGGAAAGCGTCGCGACGCACTGAAGCCCGTCGCCAGTGCTTTCCGTCCTTTTGGAATGCGCTCCCTATACAGGATGACAAAAATTAATTCCCATATTTTTTTGTAAATCTACCGCCTGAAAAGGCCTCGAAAAAATGAAATAATTTAAAAATATATTTGGACAATCATCGGTAAATACCTGATGAAGGTAACTGCCCTGTAATAGGGTGTTTCATGAGAAACATTCGCAACCTAAGGGAGTACAAAATTATCAATAAACGTCCGCAAAAACTTCGCTGCTGGCCTGTAGGATGTTCAATATACAGGGTGTCCCGTAAGCTCACGATCAAAAGGGTACTGCGATATTCTTCGGACCAATAGAAGACGATCTGACCTGACTTTTATTAACAAAAAATGTCTGGCTCCTCTGCTATTGATGGTCCAAGTTTTTCAAAAAAATTATCTTTTTTGAAATATCGAGAGAATGGTACGATGTATTTTAGTGAAACTCGCTGTGAATTTGTTCACAGCATTAACTGCAAATATTGTGATACGAGGCATAAAACCATTGTCAATCAATCTCACAGGATTGCTAAGTGACTAGAAAACAGACATATTTTTTTACGCAAAAACTATGAATGCTACAAGATTTTACAAAGAGCATAAAATTGTGAACAATTGATTATTGCATCAACATAAAAAAAAATTATTTGATTTCATCCTCCAACTAAAAAGTTCTGGTAGTTTTTGTACCACGACACTCAAGAATTCACCACTTGTCCAAAACGGCTGAACTCGATTGTTTCATCAAAATATGAGTCTTACATAAGAACAAATTCACAGCGAGTTTCACTAAAATACATCGTACCATTCTTCCGATATTTCAAAAAAGATAAATTTTTTGAAAAACTTGGACATAAGAACAAATTCACAGCGAGTTTCACTAAAATACATCGTACCATTCTCCCGATATTTCAAAAAAGATAATTTTTTTGGAAAACTTGGACCATCAACAGCAGAGGAGCCAGACATTTTTGTTAATAAAAGTTAGGTCAGATCGTCTTCTTTTGGT